AGTAATAATAATAAAAACCCCGGACAATTCCCATATAGCTCTATAACGAAACTACACATATCATTTATTATCGATACTAAACAAGGGACAGAAAGACTTAAATACAATTTTTTCGCAACAACATAATATATAATGTATTGTATAGAAAATACCCAAAATCCAGAACAATACTATCTTTATATGTACCTTAGACTTTAGAATGCAACAGCGAAATTGATATAACTATAGATATAGATATTGAATAGAATATAATATAATTTATTGACTCGCCTTGACACAAGAATGATGACTTCAAAAATAAAAGCAATAATTTACACATATTAAAAAAAATGTGCCAGTGGACTACAACTTAGCATAATGTAGGAAATATACTTTACAGCGCTGATTTTATTTTGGGCCCACAGTACGGACGCATACAATAAAAAATGTATTAAACAGATATTATACAAATATAAAATAATAATAATGTATAAGAGAAAAAAATACAGAGAGTATACAAAATAAAAAAACACAAAGGCATAAATAAGGACAAAAATATGTAAAATATGTGTGTGGACACATTTTATGTCTTCTAATAGTCGTATTAATTAATAAGTATAATACTCGCTTTCTGGTAACCAACAATCTAATTAAATATAAAGCAGAAATAATTGAAATTTTCTTTGTTATGGACATATTGATTTTATTTAAACAATGTTAAATTTACGTATATTATTGACATATATCACATTGTATTTAAACAATATTGTAACTGTTTTGTATAACATAATGGAGCTTCTAATGAAACCCAGATTTATATATTTAAGTATTTTAATTTCGACAACGTTTTACAAATTAGGTTAGTACAAAAGAAGTGAACTCAATAATTGACGAACGTCTATATAAGAAAAAAAATAAAAATTATGCAGGTATACAAAAAACAAGTGCATATGGAATGCGAATATATAATGCATCTTCTTGGTGCTATTAAAATACATCAGGCGCTTTAGGGCTGAACAGTAACCGTATCTATTTAGAAATTGTATATTTACAATCATTTTGTGTATTTCACACTCACATTGTGTATTTATGTACACTCGAAACAGAATTTTATGGCATTCAGATTTATCTAGTCTTACTTAACGAAAAATAGACAATTTCGGAATATAATGCAGATTCTTATCAAATGGTTTTACATTACAGGCACCTCAACCGGCGGACGAGTTGAGTGATGGCTTATCCTTAGCAGATTATACGAAGCATTGTTTACAACCATCTTCACAAGGACCAAATGCTGGTATCGAAGACTGTTTAGAATTGAATATTTTTGCAAAAAATAATATTGCTTCTCAACCTGTCATAGTCTGGCTAGAAGGAGAGGAATATTTGTCGACTAAAATTAAGACAACATTCCGAAGACTCGTTCAGAAGAATACAGTTGTGGTATCATTGAATTATCGTGTATCCATCTTTGGATTTCTTTGTCTTGGTGTTCCGGAGGCTCCTGGTAATGCTGGTCTTAAAGACGTTACATTGGGGCTACAATGGATTAAGGAAAATATAATTCAATTTGGAGGTGATCCGAACAATGTTATGCTTCTTGGACATGGATCTGGTGCTGCAATGGTTGACCTGATCACTATGTCACCACTGTCAAAAGATTTGGTACATAAAGCATTCGTTATTAGTGGATCAGCATTAACACCTTGGGCTATATCCTACGACCCAATCGGTTATGCTAATTTTGTAGGAGAAAAACTAGCATACTCTGGAAAAACTCCGAGAAAATTAGCAGAAGAACTAAAATCTATTGATATTGACGTATTATTATATGCATTAAATATTGAATTTACCAATAATACTGTCTTATTTGCTCCTTGTGTAGAGAACGTTAAACTTCAGGACCCCTTTCTTCATGACACTCCAATAAACATATTGAAGAATGGTAGTTTTAACCATATCCCTTATGTGGCCGCTTTCGCTGACCGAGAAGGAACGTTAAGAGCTAATGAATATAGTGATTGGCTAACTAAAATGGAATCAAATTTCATTTCATTTATTCCTGGGGATTTAGAATTTGGTTCTGAAATGGAGAAGACTATTGCGGGAAATTCCATACGCGAATTCTATTTCAACAACAACACTAGTATTAACATAAAAGAATACCTGAACTATCATGGAGATACCTCAATTATTGTACCATTAATAAGAGGTGTCAAAGCCAGAGCAAAGACGTCGAGAGCTGACGTTTATTTACTTGAGTTTGCGTACCGTGGTTCAACAAACGATGACTGGCCGTATCCCGATATACCCGTTAATGGTGTTAAGCACGGGGGAATCTTGGAATATTTATTTGATAAAAATATGACCAAGCATGGAGAAAATGCAAAAACATCGCTTATAAATTATATTTCATCGTTTGCGAGAACCGGGTGAGTTCAAATTTTGTGTAAACACTATTGTAAACTTTTCAACGTTTATTTATTTTTTTATGATTCATAGATAATATATACATATAACAAAGTACTTTATAATCAACCTATAAAGTATACGAATTCTGAAATATGACAAGATGTACATTACTGAAAAATAAAATCGACAATTAAATATCACTGTATTTTTTTTTCAGGATACCCAGTTCGAACGCTGTATCTGAACAAAAATGGTTACCAGTTCAAACGCAGAGTTTCAACTATTTGTATTTTGGTGGTGCACATGGTAATCCGCACATTGAAGTACTACAACTGGATCCCCACGCAAAAACCGTGACGTTCTGGAATGATCTATACGACAATTTCCATAAAATTCCGAATGGAGATTCGTACACATCTACCATTGAAAATATTGCTAATTTACAGTATTTATTTATTGTGTTACTACTTACTATGGTGCTTGTTATATTGTTTGTTATTTTAAAAAGAAATTGGTCAAAGTGCCATAAATCAAGACAATTCTCGTACCGCCATGATGAAATAAGACAAAGTTTCTTAAATATTTATCATAAACCAAAAGAATTCCCACACCGCCGTAATGAAATAGAACAAAATTTCCGCATTAGTAATACAATAATATTCACCGACTCCGAGTGCAATGATATTAATAATGAACTAATAAAATTCCCACACCGTCGTAATAAAAGGAGTCAAAGTCTCTGCAATATTAATAGAACAATATTAGCCTCCGACTGCTATGATATTAATAATGAACTAATAAAAATCCCACACAGCCGTAATAAAAAAAGACAAAGTCTCTGCAATATTAATAGAACAATATTAGCCTCCGACTGCTATGATATTAATAATGAACTAATAAAAATCCCACACAGCCGTAATAAAAAAAGACAAAGTCTCTGCAATATTAATAGAACAATATTAGCCTCCGACTGCTATGATATTAATAATGAACTAATAAAAATCCCACACAGCCGTAATAAAAAAAGACAAAGTCTCTGCAATATTAATAGAACAATATTAGCCTCCGACTGCTATGATATTAATAATGAACTAATAAAAATCCCACACAGCCGTAATAAAAAAAGACAAAGTCTCTGCAATATTAATAGAACAATATTAGCCTCCGACTGCTATGAAATTAATAATGAACTAATAAAAATCCCACACAGCCGTAATAAAATAGGACAAAGTCTCAGCAATGTTAATAAAAAATCAAGAGAATTCTCACACCGCCATAGTTCTGAATACTAAGTAGAGCTTGTACTATGGGTATTAAATAATTGGTAGAAATACTTCAATATATTTTTTTGGTTGATAAAACACTCAATACGAATAAGCATTAATACAAATGTTTGTATTGTAAGAGAATCTAACTGGTGTTCAGACGATACTGTTTAGTACAATGCTGTCATTTTTTTATTGGGAGGTTTCGGGCTATTGTCACCAGTAATACTGTATAGGTGTATTTTGTTCTTCCTTATTCAGTGTTCACTACCTAGACGTGAAGGACAACAATTGAACGATATTCTTAGGAGCGATGGTTTTTATCTCCTCAAGAACACTGCCATACCACAGCGGTCATCCGTGGCAAGGTGACGACCAAGAAATGTTTGATTGTAAAAACATATTGCATGAGAATAAGAAAAGTAATGTTGCATGAGAACTTAATTAATTTAACTTTATGCTATAAGAATGTGAGTCACCTTCTTTGTTACTAGAATAGATATTATTAGTTCAGTAATTATTTAGTAACGATATTTCTTATAATCCCTACAAAATAATCTATATACCTATATTACAATGAGTACATATTTCCCTCGAAAACTATTTATTGATTTTTTTTATTTTGTATTACTGTAATTTTTTTTATTTTATTTTTATTATATTTTTACTTTTATTGGTTCTTTGATATGAAAGGGGTTAACATGTGAAAATTTAAATGTTAAAGAACAACAACCGGTATTAGCCTCAAATAATATTTTTGCTCGAGATGGAGATGAGTCCAGAGAAGATGTGATGTCAATCGGACTATTAGCCATGAAATCTTCAAAAATATTAAAGAATCTGTCAAAAATATATTATCTTTTGTTGTTGTTATTAAGTTATTATCATAATTTAATGTGATTAATGGCTATTTTAGAAATTTCGTTTAGACATTCATTCTTTATTTATAATACCCCAGATGGTATTAATTTTGTCAGAAGACTGCTTAATTTGTTTGTTAATATAATTAAATTTAGCCATAATAAAAACATTTACAAATTTATTTGAATATAATATTTTTTTGAAATAAGTAGTGTATTTGTGATCAAATCCATATTTTTTTAGTCATGTAAATCAAACAATATATTTCTACTTTTAAGTATTCCTACTGTTGCCCATTCCATGAATTTAGGTTTAAGCTTCTTTTTCTTGAAAAATATATTTTCCATTATAAAATATTGATTAACTTTGTATTTATTAATATTGTAAACATTTATTTGCCTGTGATTCTTTATTAGTGTCGACTTTTGTTAAATATCCCACTTTTAATATTACCTCAATATTATAATTTTGTTAATTTTAATAATGTATATCTGTCATGCATTAGTACCGAAAAATGTATGTAATGTAAATGGCTGTCGACTTTTGGATTTCAAATATCAATGACAAATTTTTCTTGAAAGAACAGAATGCAATAGAATTAATTTTTAATCAAACATACTTATTATTTACTAGCAACCCGTTCCGTGGCGTACGGATGCATTACAAATTGTTTAATTTCTTGGCCTGTCATACAATAACACTCATGTATCCATATAAACCCTCCTCTTGAATCACTCTATTTATTGCCGAGAACGGCATTAAACCCGTATGTTGTAAATTGAGATTCTTTCTTGAAATCAAACGGTATAAAGGACAATTTTGTTTTACTTAGAAGTATTTTACTTCTATTAAATAACGGATAAGGAAAAATATAATTTTTATATCAAAACAAAATATGTACGCAAAAAATATAATCAAAATATAACATAAGTATAGAATTACTTGGAAATTTTCTAATCACTAATTTTGATACGGATAAATTGTTTACACGAATTATATTGAGTATTAATATTTTTGTACAGCTCTTGTGCAGAGAGTACAAAAGGACGTTATATTATAATTTGATTTAATTTGCGCATAATGAAAATTCGGTTCTACTAAAACTAGAAGTGTAACTATCAGCTAGTACCAATATATTGCCGAAATATACAAGTACATTGTGCCTATGTATTATATAGTGGTTATTATAATCGGACAGAGCGTATGTGCTCTTTCAAGTTGGACTGTTGAGACTACCCAAGCATTATTTAAAGGTTCTATAGCTCCGGACGGCGATTATTACACTTTCTTGGGTCTGAAATATGGCAAATCTATCACCAACGAAAATAGATTTATGGTATGTATTCATTATCTATCTACACATATAATGAAACTGTAGAGGTCGAATTTCTGCATGTAGAAAAAAACGCCAAAAACCGAGTCAGAAGGATGTTAAAAGTGAAATAGAACACATTTGGATTTTTTTGCAATTTTTTTATTTCTCTGTCTGTTTGTACAGGCTAATCTCCGAATGTGTTGGACCGATTAAATTAAATTTTGCATGGAGGTTGCTTATATCCCCGCTCAACATCTTAGATACTTTTAATCACGGAAGAATAAAGAGTTCTACGTACAAGTAGTAGTAGTAGATTATATACTAGCCATGCCCGCGAATTCGTTCGCGTGTTTTAGTGAACTTAGTCAAATAATTAAAAATAAATAATCAAAGCAAAAAAAGAAAACGTTTCATCATCTTAGTTTCATAAATGACAATTTTCCTTACACACTTTTATGTTAGTGTGTAATTTTTATAAACTTTGAATGTCATATTTATTTATATTTAATCAACAGCCTAAAATATGACGTTACCTCCATGGAAACTTTCATCTCCCCTTACAGCCCCTTACAACACTATTATCGTATTAAAAAGTAGCCTATGTCGTTTATCATTTCGGTATACACTATCTTTGTGCCAAATTTCATCTATATCGGTCCAGTAGTTTTGGCGTGAAATCGAGACGGACAGTCAGACAGAGTTACTTTCGCATTTATAATAATATTAGTAAGGATTACAGTTAAAAATTGATAACATATCGTAATAATTGTGAAATAAAGAAACACATAATATATATACCTATAACATTCTTTTGTTTCTTATCAATATAAAAATTATCAATAAATAACAAAGTTATAAATCCTTCTAAATACTAAAAACTCAGTAAAGAATCTTATGGTATTCAGATTTATCTATTCGTCTAAATAAAAAATAGTTTCTGAATATAATACAGATTCTTATCAAATGGTATTATGTACATTACAGGCACCTCAACCGGCGGACGAGTACTATGGTTTATACTTAGCAGATTATACGAAGCATTGTTTACAACCACCATCGCAAGGACCAAATGCTGGTATCGAAGACTGTTTAGAATTGAATATTTATGCAAAAAATTATATTGCGTCTCAACCTGTCATAGTCTGGCTAGAAGGAGAGGAATATTTGTCCACTAAAATTAAGACAACATTCCGAAGACTCGTTCAGAAGAATACAATTGTGGTATCATTGAATTATCGTGTATCCATTTTTGGATTTCTTTGTCTTGGTGTTCCGGAGGCTCCTGGCAATGCTGGCCTTAAAGACGTTATATTGGGGCTACGATGGATTAAGGAAAATATAATTCAATTTGGAGGTGATCCGAACAATGTTATGCTTCTTGGACATGGATCTGGTGCTGCAATGGTTGACCTGATCACTATGTCACCACTCTCAAAAGATTTGGTACATAAAGCATTCGTTATTAGTGGATCAGCATTAGCACCTTGGGCTATATCCTACGACCCAATCGGTTATGCTAATATTGTAGGAGAAAAACTAGCTTACTCTGGAAAAACTCCGAGAAAATTAGCAGAAGAACTAAAATCTATTGATATTGACGTATTATTATATGCATTAAATATTGAATTTACCAATAATACTGTCTTATTTGCTCCTTGTGTAGAGAACGATAAACTTCAGGACCCCTTTCTTTATGACACTCCAATAAACATATTGAAAAATGGTAGTTTTAACCATATCCCTTATGTGGCAGCTTTCGCTGACAGAGAAGGAACATTAAGAGCTAATAAATATAGTGATTGGCTAACCAAAATGGAATCAAATTTCATTTCGTTTATTCCAAGGGATTTAGAATTTGGTTCTGAAATGGAGAAGACTTTTATGGGTAATTCCATACGCGAATTTTATTTCAACAACAGCGCTAATATTAGTATAAAAGACTACCTGGACTATCATGGAGATACCTCAATTATTGTACCATTAATAAGAGGTGTCAAAGTCAGAGCAAAGATGTCGAGAGCTAACGTTTATTTACTTGAGTTTGCGTACCGTGGTTCAACAATCGATGACTGGCCGCATCCTAATATACCACTGAATGGTGTTAAACACGGGGAAATCCTGGAATATTTATTTGATAAAGATATGACCAAGCATGGAGAAAATGCAAAGACATCGCTTATAAATTATATCTCATCGTTTGCGAGAACCGGGTGAGTTTGAACTAACTGAGTCTTAAACTTTTTCACTCGTTATATATTTATTTATGATACATATGTAATATTGGTAGTATACATATATATAAAAAAGTACTTCTGTGATCAACCTATAAGGTATCCGAATTCTGAAATATGATAACTACTAGATGAAAACCCGGCTTCACTCGGGTGAAATGTGAGTAGATATTTGTGTAGTCATCGGTTCTCATGGAATATTAAAAGTAAGCAAGGCATAGATTTGTAAAGCTTCGTTCATTGTGTTTAACAAATATAGTAAATAAAAAGTGCAAAAGTTTTTATACAAATAATTTTTATTTTTTGTAAAACTTTAAATTGGGCTAAAAAGAACTTGTATCCAGAGCCGTAAAACAAATTAATAAAAAAAATGCCAAATTTATCTCGCAATCGGCCAATTTCAGGTTTAAAGAAAAAACACATACTCTTTTATCATAAAAAAGTGTTAGTTTGTATAAGTGAGAAAAAAATCAATATTTTTTTTTTGGGAATAGGTTTCGCTGTCTTATATAGCCGCGTTGCACGATATATATGTATGTAAATAATGATAATGAAAGAAAGAAAATATTTTTTCAGGATACCCAGTTCCAACGCTGTATCAGAGCAAAAATGGTTACCAGTTCAAAGTAAGAGTTTCAACTATTTGTATTTTGGTGGTGTACATGGTAATCCGCACACAGAAGTACTACAACGGGATCCCCATGCAGAAACCGTGACGTTCTGGAATGATCTTTACGATAATTTCCATAAGATTCCGAATGAATATTCGTCGGCATCTATCATTGAAAATATTTCTATAAAACAATATTTACTTATGGTGTTACGACTTACTATAATGCTTTTTGTATTATTTGTTATATTTCTTATAAACAGAAATTCGACAGAGTACCTTATATCAAGACAATTATCGTACTGCCATAATGAAATAGAAGAAAGTATGTTCAATATTAATAATGAACCAATAGAATTCCCGCACAGCCATAATGAAATAGAAGAAAGTATGTTCGATATTAATAATGAAGAATGCCCACACAGCCATAATGAAATAGAAGAAAGTATTTTCAATATTAATAATAAACAAAGACAATTCCCACACCGCCATTATGAAATACAACAAAGTATGATCAATATTAATAATAATTTAAGACAATTCCCACACCACCATAATAATGTAATAAAACAAAGTACCTTCAATATTAATAATAAATCAAGACAATTCCCACACCGCCATAGTGTTCAATACTAAATAATTGGTAGAAATACTTCAATACATTTTTTTGGTTGATAAAACACCCCATACCAATAAACATGAATACAAATGTTTGCATTGTAAGAAAACCTAACTGACGTTCAGACGGTGATGTTTAGTACAATATTGCCATTTTTTTTTATTGGGGGAGTTTTGGGCTATTGTCACCTGTAACCCTATAACCTGTGTAGAACATTACCCTTATTCAAAGCTACCCAGACCCGTGAGAGACAAGAATTGAAGGATATTCTTAGAAGCGATGGTTTTTATCTCCTCAAGAACACTGCCATACCACAGCGGTCATGCGCGGCAGCAGACAAATAAAAAATTTTTGATTGTAAAACATTCATTATGAGCTATGTACTCATGCAAGGAAATTAATTAATTTAATTATGCTATAACTTAGGCACCTTTGTTTTTACGTCAAGAGTAAAGAATTTTCATAGATGACCACCGTAATTGTCAAATACCCTTTTTTATGTGTAATAGCTGTGATTACATGCCCTACTTTAACAAGTACAATAAACTCGAAGTTTTACTTTTATTGTTAAGTAATAGTGTTAAAGTTCATGTATTTTTGTAAATAAAAATATAGTTTGACAAGAAATTGTTACAAATATTAATACATTTTTCATAGCTTTTCAATAGGAATTAATATTTATTTTTGTTTTATTAATATTTCAATTTGCCGTTATATATTTAATATGTTTTAACACTAATAAAAGTAGATACAATAAAAAATATTACAAAAGATTGAAGAAAGAAGGTACAAAAGTCGATCTTATCCCTAAAGCAGTTTCATCCAGACAACCTTAGGAATATTTGTAATTACTTGCGAGAGTATTTAACATAAATAAAGTAGGCGATACATGAATGGATATAAGTTAATAAACAAAAATAAAATCACAAAAAATATACACTTATGCAGATGTAGACCAGAACTATTCGTCTTCAAGAATTGTTACGTCTCTCTATCTCTCCAAGTAAAGTTTCTTATTCTGTAGGTAGTTCCAAATTGCGTGTTACATAATTACTTTGTATTCTTATGTATTGTGTATTTACGTATAAAATATATTGCATATGTATATTTATACTCTATTTTAATTTCTATTTAATTTATTAAATTCTATTCTAGTAATATCTATTTAATTCCATCTACCATCTTCTATTTCCTACTCAAAGGTTGTCTGGAAGAGATTGCTTATATGACAAGATCGACTTTTGTATATTATTACATCTATTTATATTCTTTACAATGTACTATTGTTATTATTTACTTTAATAAAGAGTAATTAAAAAATAATGGTATAAATATATGTGTATTTATATTTAGTTGAATAAATAATTATAGAGATTAAATATAATAAGAATATTAAGTTACCCATATATATCGTATACCGACGATTATTCAGATGGTAGAAATACAAAAAATACGTGATACTATTAAAAATATATTTTGTTAATAAAAAGACGAAGAACAAGCTACCGGATTTTATTAAAAAAACACACCCTATATATATATACAGTTAGTGTGGCGTAACGCCCCCGCCGTAACGCCCCCGTAGGTCTAGAAATCCCTAAACTACGACGAAAATAATAATGACACTGGCTCATCCCCATCTTCAATTCCAGAAGCCGCTATCGTATCTGGAATTGAAGATGAGAAAAATGAAGTGTAAGGATATTAATTTATTTATTAAACTATACAAGTATGCCGCAAAGTAATGCACATGAGAGATCAGCAGTTGTGTTACCACCAGTTGAGGATGTGGCTGGAGGATCACCTGCGTCAGGAGCGGGAGAGATCAGTTCAATAATTTGTATAAAAATTAAAAAAGTGCCAATTGAGAAGTTGCAAGTTTGTCTCAACTGATGTATCTAGCGAAACAGGAAGTTAGAAGTTATATATATATACATATATATACAACATACCTCCACGACTGTTAAAAGCAAGTAGTAGCAAATCTGGTCCGAGCAGTATAAAGCTAAATACAACAGGCATCCGACCGACGCATGATGTACGGACGTATTATCAGTATTTGATTCTTCATCAAATCATAGATAAAGAAATAAACGTCATCAAGGTTAGTAAAGGCCCACAATTAATTAGCTCTTATCACCAGAGTGAAGACTAGATAATTTTACATACAAGGTATTACTTACAAAATGAAACAGTTCGTCACTTTGAGAATTCAAGAAAGACGTGCCGAATTATTTTCTAAAAAGTATTGGTATTAAGTTGTCTGTATTGTTCCTACGTTGTGATGATGTACATTTCGAAATATTTTCAAATAGTGACTTTCATAATAAGCTACGCTGTGGCACATGATCACGTACTTGCAAATTGGACAATTGAAATAGCGCAAGGATTAGTCGAAGGTATAACCTCAAATGGCGATTATTTCACTTTCCTTGATATACAGTATGGTGAAAGGATAACCAATGAAACTATGTTTATGGTAAATGTTTCTTTATTAAATGTTATTGCAGATAAACTAACAAAATAACCATTCGCTTGTCTTTGTATTAAAATGTGAAAATATGATAAAATTATACATGGTTAGTGTAAGTTTATGTTAATCAGTGAAAGTGTTTCGTTACCTATAGGTACTCACTTAATGACAAAGCATAGAGTTAGTCATAAGGGGTACTAAACTTCTTAAATATGTATATAGATACAAGCTTATATAATTCTTCCGGTTCTTCAATTTATTTATGAATACAATACGATATTGTTTATTAATTTTATATTCTCTGTTAATTTTATAATTTGCTGTAGCCTTCATACATATAAAAGCGATGTAATTTTTTTTAATTAGTTTGTTGTTAATTGTAAAAGCCTGTCAGTGGCTTAGTATGACATTTATATTGATTTTATTTAAGTATAGTCAGCCTTGGTTTTTCTTTAATAAATAAATAAATGAATATCCAGAGGTCTAATTGAGACTAATACTTATATTGCTTAATAATATATCTCGATACAGATTTCATCCAATTTATGTCATATGTTATTAATGGTCATGACGTATAGTCATGATGCGCATTGGGATGCCCAAAACACTATGTAATATTATATTATCTGTGACTCTACTAAAATCAGCACTAAAAAGCTCGTGCGCTTGAGAGTTGCTAGAAATTTGTTGCTTTCTTTAAAATATAAATGTATTGGTCGCCAGTAGTCTGAAATTAATTCATTTAAATTTTTATTTGTAACCTGCCTACGCTCTTGTTCATAAGCTTTATGTACTAAAGCGACCTATGTTGTTTAGTAAAAAGTATCTGTGGCTCAGATATACAATATCTAGTCTGTGTAATGTCTTTAATATTTAAGGAATCTGCTTTCCATACTTCCCTGTTCGCGTAATTTTCCATACTTGTTACTCATGCGTTACCGATTTTTCACCACACAATTGAACCACATATTACAAAGCAAACACCTGGCGGCTTAAACAGATGAGTCAGATTTTTTATAAAATCTTTTTCGTTTAGTTTTTTAGTACATTATAGAGATAATAAAAACACTGCATCTGCATATACTGGTTCAAAGATCTTTTTGTAATTTTTGTTATGATCGAATTTCGATAACTGGGCAACCGCTAGTAATTATGATTAAATTAACGAAATACAATCTTTTCTTAATAAATGATGATATTGATTTGAGCAGCTATCAAAAAATATAATATTAGGCTGTATTTACTTATGAAGAAAATCTCTACAACGTATACTACGTGGATCATTAGTACGTTATAGAACAGTATTGAGTAAAACTTGTGTGTTAGAATATATTATATTATTTACATACTTTATTCTAATAGAGATAAAACCCTATGTCAGTCAGTAACAGTCCACTTCGTCTGATCTTAACGAAAGTTACCTAAACATAATTACCGAATATAAAAAACAGAATTTAATGATCCTCTTCGTTGCAGGCACCTCAAATGGCAAGCTCCGGTTTAAAAGTTACGCATTATAAGAGCAAGTACTATTCACCATGTTACCAATCACCGAAAACATATACAGAAGACTATTTAAAACTAAACGTTTCCGCAAAAAAAAATAATGTTTCTAAACCTGTCATAGCCTGGCTAGAAGGAAAAGAATATTCTTCGCTTGAAATGACAACTTTGTTCAAGAATCTCGTTCTGGAGGATATTGTGGTGGTGACAATAAACTATCGTATATCTATATTTGGATTTCTATGTCTCGGTGTTCCGGAGGCTCCTGGCAATGCTGGCCTTAAAGATGTTATATTGGCACTACAATGGATTGAAGAAAATATAAATAAATTTGGAGGTGATCCAAAAAATGTTATGCTTCTTGGACATGGATCTGGAGCTGCAATGGTCGACCTGATCACTATGTCCCCATTCTCGGAAGATTTGGTACATAAAGCATTCGTTATCAGTGGATCAGCATTAGCACCTTGGGCTATATCTTATGACCCAATCGGTTATGCTAATATTGTAGCAGAAAACCTACAATACTCTGGAAAATCACCAATGGAATTAGCAATGAAATTTAAATCCACTCGTCTTAATGTATTGCTAGCTGCTCTTGAGGTTGAATTTACCAATAATACCGCATTGTTTGCTCCTTGTGTCGAGAACGACAAACTTCAGAATGTTTTTCTTAACGATACCCCAATAAACATATTGAAGAATGGTAGTTTCAACCATATACCTTATGTGGCCGCTTACACCCAGAGAGAGGGAACGATAAAAGCTAAAGAATTTCTTAATTGGCGTCCCAAAATGGAATCAGATTTTACTCAGTTCATTCCAGGGGATTTAGAATTTGGTTCTGAAATCAACAAGACTATAGCGATGAATAATATACGTGAGTTCTATTTCCACAACACTACCAGTATTAACATAACAGAGTATCTGGACTATTATAGAGATACCTCAGTTATTGTGCCATTAATAAGAGGTGTTACAGCCAGAGCCGAGACATCGACAGCTAACGTTTATTTACTCGAGTACGCGTACCATTGTATATCTAACGCTGACTGGCCTTTCAACGATATTTCAGTGGTAGAGAATAGTGTTAAGCAAGGTAGCCGGGATAATGTATTGGATAAAAATATGACAAAGCACGAAGAAGATGCGAAGAAATCACTTATAAATTACATCATATCGTTCGCAAAAACTGGGTGAGTTCGAACTACTTTTTTATATCACAGGGGACAAACGAGCTTGCGGTTTACCTGATGGTAAGTGATTACCGCCGCTCATGACCACCCGCAATACCAGGGGAATTGCAAGTGCGTTGCCGGCCTTTTAAGAAGGAATAAGCTCTTGTCTTGAAAGTTTCAATATGGTCTATGTTCGGAAATACCATGCGGAAAGGTGATTCCACAATGAGGTTGTGCGTGGTAAAAAGTTTCTAGAAAATCGCAAAGACCGCCATTCATTATTAAATAACTGTTTATATGAAGTTAAATATATTATTACGAGTCTAGTAGGAGTAAAAAGTGACTTATACAGAAACTAGTATTCACCTCGAATTCATACGAGTGTAGATTTTTAAAACGCCATTCACTCATGTATAATGTAACAACAAACAAAAAAGCAACTTTACAGCGGTATCTAATATTGATAAATATTAATAAATTAAATTATAGGTTGTTGGTGACACTGGCACATCACTACTCACTCGATCGCCGCTTTTATATGAAAAATATATATGTCAAAAAAAACTATACTGTACATTCATAATATTATATTAACAAAATAAACTAAAAACTGTAAAAACGACTTGTTTAGTATAACTAAACAAGTCGTTTTTACATCGATCAAGCACATCAAATGGTAGCAGAGCGTATGGTAAGAAAATTCGACAAAGTTATGAAATAAATAAAAACATATAATATAAAAAATGGCAACATATAGAATCGAACCATTATATAAAAACAATTATGATACATGGTGTCTCTAGGCACAAGCAGTGCTTATAAAAGCCGATTTATGGGAATATGTTAGTGGACACATTTCCCTAGAAACAGATGCATGTCCCCAAACTATCGCAGCATTTCAAAAATCCGATATGATGGCAAAATCGGAAATATTATTACTAATATCTCCATCAGAATTAAAACAAATAAAAACATGTAAGACATCAAAAGAGATTTGGGATAAACTGAAATCATCTTATCAAAGTTCAGGTCCCGCTAGAAAAGCAACCCTCCTAAAATATTAGTTTTACAAAAAATGGACTCTCAAAGCGATATTCGCGATCATTTGAATGAATTCCTAGACATAGTCGATAAACTAGCCGATATGGAAGTCAAAATACATCCAGAACTATTGAGTATTATGATGTTATACAGCCTTCCTAGTGCATATGAAAACTTTAGAATTGCAATAGAATCTAGGGATACATTACCAAATCCGGAAGACTTAAAAATAAAAATACTCGAAGAAGGTGAAGCTAGAAAACAAGTTAACAAATCAGAGAGATCCGATGGAGCATTTTATAGCAGAAATAATAAAAATCTGAAACAAATCAAATGTGAAAACTGTAAAAAAAAGGGCCATTCCACTGAAAGCTGCTAGAGTAAGAAAAAGTACAATAAATATAATAAAAGTAGTAATTATTATAAAGACAAAAAATCAGAAAAAACATTAAATGTATGTTTATCACTTTGTAAAGAAAACATTGATACAGATTCTTTGGTATTGGACAGTGGATGCACATCACACATTACCTATCAAAAAGAAAAATTTACAAACCTATCATCAGAAACTGGATTGCTAAAGTTGGCATCTAACATTCACACCGCTAACGTAAAAGGTAAAGGAAAAGTAACAATTAAGGTAGATGGTGATAAATGCAATCTCGCTGACACATTATATGTACCTGATATATCTGAAAACTTAATATCCGTTAGTAAGATCACTGATAAAGGTAATTCTGTATTATTTACAAAGAAAAAGGCATTAATAAAAAACAATGAAGGTGATATACTACTTACTGCTGAAAAATATAATGGATTATATTATGTAAAATGTGACAAAAATAACACAGCTTATGCAATAAAAAATGAAAAGAATGCTATGTGGCACCAGAAACTAGGTCACTTAAATGAAAATGATATGAAAGTTTTACACAAAGAAAATTTGATAAGAGGTATACAATTGACAAATGGAAAACTAAACCCGTGTGAAACATGTATAAAAGGAAAGCTGACCAGGCTACCATTCCAAAGTCGTGAAACTATAAAAACAAATGAACCTCTACAAATAATACACTCGGATGTTTGTGGGCCTATGCCACATGAATCATTGGCTGGTTCCAGATACTTTGTGACATTTATTGATGATTATACTAGATATTGTTGCATATATTTCTTAAAACAAAAAAATGAAGCATTAGAAATATTTAAAGAATATAAAAATAAAGTAGAAAACTTTTGGAAAAAAAGATCAAATCATTACAATCCGATAACGGAACAGAATATTGTGGAAAGGAATTTGAACAATTCTTAAAAGATAATGGCATCGTGAGACGACTCTCGACACCATATACGCCACAACAAAATGGAGTAAGCGAAAGAAAAAATAGATCTCTACTCGATAAAGCCCGTTGCATGATTATAGCATCAAAAGTTCCTAATTCGTTATGGGCAGAAGCTATTTTCACAGCGAACTATCTTATAAATAGAAGTCCTTCTAAAGCCTTACAACAAGAAACACCGTTTATGAAATGGATGGGACGAGTACCGTCAGCAAATCATTTACGCATTTTTGGTACAAAAGCTTTTGTTCTGATAAAGAAACGAAGGGGAAAGTTCTCACCGAAAGCAATTGAAGGAGTATTTGTTGGATACGCTAAAAGTGCAAGAGGCTACAGAATTTACATACCAAATAAAAATGAAGTAAATATTAGTAGAGATGTAAAATTCATAAATAAAATGTACTATGAAAGTGAAATAAATGATGACTTTGATATCTTCAATAACGAAGAAAAACTCCTACCTGAAAATAAAAATAAAAATATAATTAATGAAATGGAAAATATAAGTAATAATAATAAAAACTTACCTGTTTTACCGTCTACCAGCTCCACACCAATATTAGAGATACCTAATGAACATACACAATCAAATATAGAGATCTCAACAAGTGATGAAGAGCGAAATGAAACAGATGACAATCAGACTTCACAAGTTAATCAAGATAATATGCATACATCGCGTAGGCAGAGAAGACTACCATCGCGATATAATGATTACGTTCTGAATAATGTACAAGAACTCAATGAAAATATATATGAAATGACATACCTATGTGAAGAAGAAAAAAATGAGGATTGGCGTGACGCCATAAAAGCTGAAATCAGAGCTCATGTAAAAAATGGTACATGGGAGATAATGAAAAAAGCAAAAGACGCAAAAGTCATAGATCATAAAATGATATTAAAAAAGAAAATGTGTCCTAATGATACAGAAATAAAAAAGGCAAGACTTGTAGCGAGAGGTTTTACCCAAAGACCAGGGATTGACTATAATGAAACATTTGCTCCAGTTGCCAAATTAAGCTCAATTAGATCAGTACTAAGTTTATCTGTACAAGAAGGATTACAACGCTTGAAAATCATAGTTGCTATATATGTAGACGACATACTCATTGCTTACTCATGTTCAAAAACGCTAAACACAATCAAAAATGTTTTAGCCACAAAATTTGAATTGAAAGACTTAGGTAAACCAAATAGATTAATTGGTATAGATATCAGTTACCAAGGAGATTCAATAAAATTATGTCAAGAAAAATACATAGATATTATTTTAAATAAATTCAAAATGGAACAATGTAAAGCTGCTGTCACACCTATCGACCCGATTTGACATTAAAACCTAATAAAGAGAAAAAACGACGAAATTTACCGTATCAAAACTTGATTGGTACACTGATGTATTGTGCCGTAGCTACTAGACCTGATATTATGTACTCCGTAAGTTATCTATCTCAATTCAATGATAGCTATGATGAAGAACATTTTAAATGCGCAAAAAGAATTCTCAGATATTTGAAAGGTACAAAAACTATTGGTTTAAGATTTGAAAAGAAAAGCCCAAATAATTTAACTGAGAAATTGTCTGGGCATCACAATCTAGTAATAGTATTGTGAGGAGGAGTTTGTTGGTGACACTGGCACATCACTACTCACTCGATCGCCGCTTTTATATGAAAAATATATATGTCAAAAAAACTATATTGTACATTCATAGTATTATATTACCAAAATAAACTATTTATACTAAACAAGTCGTTTTTCCATCGATCAAGCACATCATAGGTCGCATATTTAAAATATTCACAAAATCTATTATTTTGATGGACGCTACTCTCCAATTGAATACACTTATAGTGTTAACTTGGACTTGCAAACATTAATCTTAAATGTGGCATTAAAAATACTGTAAATGTACACACATTTGCAGTATTTTTAATGCCACTTGAACACAGTTGAATTGATGAATATAATTATGCCATAAATGCAATGTTCATAAATAATGATAACGTGATGATAATGCATACAATGGTATATGGTACCACGTCATTATTATTTATGTGGCAAAAAAAATTAAACATGATATTTTTTTTATTACACCCGCAACGCCACTGTAAATGTTTCGAAAATGTTAACCGCCATAAATTTTGTGAATCTTAAAAATGTAAACATGAATAACGATTACTTAAAAGATCAACACGTAAATTTCTTGGTCATTCTTCGTTTGACGACTCTGCTTTCCGAATAAGTGGAATAATGAAATATATAATTGTTGAAAAGCGTTTACATTAAGTTTATTTTAATAATGTTATTACGTTTCCAGAGCACCCAATATAGCATCAGAACACCCAGCACGGCAGTGGCTACCGGTCAACAATGAGACCATCAACTATCTGTACATCGGTGGTACATGTAATCAAAAGCATATAGAAGAACTGAAACAGAATCCCTACTCCAAGTCAATGAAGTTATGGACCGATCTATATAACCATTACTATAAGACTCCCTTGAATTATTCTGACTCCGAGAATGAGAGAATCCCTTTTTATATAATATTTGGCATATTATTCTTTTACCTCTGGCTTAGCCGAGTTATTCGAAACTAATATCATTATATTACTTTTCATTACATTCGGCTAAA